GACGCCGAGGGGTCCTGCCCCGCCGCGGGGCACACGCGGGATCCTGCCTCATGGCGGGCACGAGGAGGGGGCCCCGCTCGGCCGCGCGGGGAGGTGGCGCCCGGGAAGTCCCGCTGCGGGCGTCGCGCAGTCCCCATCACGTCGCGTGCGCTCGCGCCCTGTGCGCGGAGATGGTTTAATTTCCGTGGCACACGCGGGTGAACTTTGTACCGCCATTGCAGGTACAAAGGAACGCGCCTCACCAGCCGCACGTGCGGGTGTGGGACTTCCTTGGCATCAGCTAAGTCTTCCGCAAGGTTGCGGTTTTCTTGCTTCACTGCAGTGTATTTCCTAGTGAGACTGACCTGGGGTAGCAGTTACTCATTCCTGCAGCAACATTATACGTGCTAACACATACAAACTTCTCCTACAGCATTAGAGCAAAATGTCATCCCCATTGCCATCATCATGCCCTTTGCCTGCTCGTGACTGTGCTGATGTGCCCTTAGTGGACTCTGATATTCAGAAAAGGCTCTTCCTTCCAGATGAAACTGAGGCAAGTTTGCTTTGTACCTTTTAAACTTGATTTTTCCCTCTTACTTGTTTTGTTCCTGAGATTAAAACTGTTTTTTCTTTCCCAAACTGCTGCCTAACTGTGAGACCAGTGGATGTGAAACTATTGAGTGAAAAAAAAAATCACAACAGCAGCAACAACTTGTTTTTTTCATTTCTTCCTAAATAGATGGCTTAAGATAAACTGAATACTATGTTTAATCTTGCAAGATACGGCTTACACTGAATGTGACTAAATAAAAAAACACTTAGCCTGACAAGTCCTTTCAGAGAGGATGTGTCTGACATGGTATTCAAGCAGGAAAAATGGGTACATGTTAGTGGGGAAGGAAGGAGAATCCGCTTCAGAAAGCCGGGAAACAGAAGACAAGTGCAGCGCGGAGCAGAGCAGGCAGCCATAACCCAGCGCTTGGAGAGCACCAGGGGACTGTGCAGGGCCGTGGTGGAGCACCAGAGGTGTCTGGAGGAGGGGGACAGGCTGCGGCAGTGGTGAGGGCAGAAGAGAAGTCCCAGTGTTGCACAAGGACGGCAGGGGAGTGCCATGCCTTCGTGTAAGAGGTGCCGATGGCTCCTCTGCCTTGCTGTTACGGGATAAGACCCCTTTCCTGTACTGCCATGCAAAGTGAGGAGTTATTCCAGCCCTGTAAAAGGAAAAAAAAAAAAAAAAAAAAAGGCATTGCTGTCTCCAAATGGGATAAACTCCACTGTGAAACGTAATACCAGTGCCTGAGCAAGATGGCCACTAGCTTCCTGGAGGTAAATTGCTTGCCTTTGCATAACAGGGCAGGTGTCTCTTCTGTGAGCTATCAACTTGAGAGCTCATACCACAAGTTTTTACCCGTACCAGATTTATTTTATTTTTAAAATTTCTCGTGTTATATAATTATGAACTTTTTTTTTTTCCAGGGAAAAAGATATGTGCCGTGTGTTACATCTGGAGCAGAAAAACTCTGTTCACTGATTCAGCCATTTAAAAAACATTATCCGATAACTACCAAATCTGGCCAAGATGGAAAATATTTTACTGTTCTAAGCAAAGAACCTGATAGTCTAGAACACCAAGTAAGAAACCATATAAGACAAACATAGAACCAATATGAAATTTCTTATTTAAGTCATGAACTGACATTTAGTCTTATTATCCTTAATAGATTATATTTGAAAGATTTCTTTGTTACATCTTGTGCACTAAGTAAGTTCCTACATGGAAGTACTTCATAGGGTTATATATGTTCAGAAAGGAGATAAATCACAATGAAGCCTTGTTTAATAGCAACATAGTATTGAGCTTGCACAGAAGCCTCATTAAGTAGAGAATGAAAAACTCTTTAAAAGTTAAATGTATTTTTCCATTGTTAATTTACATAGTTTTCATTTTCAAAAACTTATATAGTTTTCTTTTTCCTTCCTGCAAGCTAGCAGATAGATGTTTATTCTGATCTTTAAAAAAAAAAATCATTTGAGTTTCTTCAACAATGTTAGTTGTCTTACAGCATGAAGCGTGAGGTCATTTTATAGAGAAGTGACTATGGGGAAGGTAATTATCTGAGAATCGAAAGAGAGTGTGACTACTTCACATTTCCATGTGCTCTTTGATTCTGGAAAGGCTTCTAAGCATATCCCTTTCCTCTGATTAAATTCTTTGTGAGCAGAACAGCTACAATTCCTGTTTACAACTCTATTGTTTTGTGGCAGCAAATCTTAACTCAGTGTAGCCAGGAAGGACTTAAAATATAACTGAATAAAATGTTTATAAGTTTGCAGTTCACGCAGATGAGGAAAACTGGAAGCAGAATTGGGGTCCATGTGCTGAACATGTGGATGAACATGAGATCAAACTTACAGAACTGTCACTACTACTTAAAAAAAGATTGCAGAATAGCCATGTACAACACAACGTGAATGAAAGTGAGGTGAGAAGGTATGTATTGGGCAGAGAGCAACGTGATGATTTACGTTCACAAGAGAATATGTTTTTTAGGCTTCTTTAGCTTTTGAAACCGAAGAATATGTGCTTGGTCTTTAAGTGTTGACCTGTGAATGCCTGGATAGAGAGCTGACGTAGTTTGGTGTTAGGATGTATTGGGTTTTGCATAGGCCCTTAGAAGAAAGACTAATTTCATTTTTTAATTGTGAGAAACTGCATTTTCAGTGAAAGTCTTGCAGCATTATTCATGAATGAAAACTAGTAAACAATGGTAGTGTATTTAGCTAATGTAATTACCTGAGCGTAATACAAACGTAAAAGGTCTAATTAATAAAAAGTACTTTCAGTTTTTATAGGATCATTTCATGGTTAGGAGGGAGCTTAGTAACTTTTTCTAGGATACATTTTTAATGCTAGAGATCATATTTTGAACTTTTCACCTCTGGCACAGAATGTCTCTGCAGGAGGCAAATGTTCTGCTGAGTATGAGTACCCAAGTTAAGTTTCACTATGCAGATTTTGATGAATTTAGTTGTAAAAATTCTTATCAGTAAACTAAGTATGTAAGTCTTGCTTATTTGGTGATTTATTAACAGAAGTCAATTTGTTTTTATTCTGCATGTGATCAGGCAAATGAAGGAAAACACTGCTTTGCAGGAGAAGCTTTTTGAAGCAGAGATGGCAATTAATTTAGCAGAGTCGTTTTTGCCAACTTTTAAAGACCTCATTGATGGAAAGACAAACGTAAGTATGTTTTAACATCATCAAAAGTTTGTACATATAGTAAGCACTGAATTCCAAATAAGTCGGTGATCTCTTTCAATTTCTTGCTTCTATCAGTGTCTGTAGTATTATTATTTTTTTACTTCAGAAAAGCTTACATTTTTGATCTCTGCAAATGATTGTAATAATTATAGAGGCAACAGAGAAGACATTTTGAATGGCACAGAAGGATGTGAATTTCTTGTTTTTAACCTGTGTTAGGTGTCATCAGAAAACTTAAGGCCATAAGTCTATGGTCAGTTCAGTGTTTCAGGCTGCTGCATTGTCAGTTATTCTAAGAGGGAGTTTTTGTATCATTTACGAGCAGTTTTGAATACACACATTTTTTACCTTTGAGTTTGTAGATTTTGCTTGTAATATTGTGCATCAGCCATAGAAACATTGCCTATATAACCCTGAATTGAAAAACCTCATTTAGACATATTTCTTAAAATCCTCCTTCTTTATTATTTTTTTATTCACATGAAATATTCACAAATCAAGACAGCTTGATTATAACTTGGAGACTTTTTCATATTTTTTTAATAACTGATCTCTATAAGTTGCTATTGTGGAGTTCCATTTGAAATCTTTTTTTCAAGAAAGTTAAAATATTCTGAATGCACACCAGGATGAGGTGAGTCTTTTGCTAAGATCCTCAGTAAAACTTTTTATGCCAATGTTTCCATTTTGCTTTCTTTTTGTAGCTAGTTTGACATAACTAGATTTAGTCTGTAAAAGTGAGATTTAGTCTGTTTGTCAGAAAGAAATGTTATACTTGAATGTAATACACTACTGCTGTTTCTGTTAGATTGAAAGAGGAAAATGTTTCATACATTGTTTAAGCACTAATCAGGCAACATGTTTTGTTTCGTTTTGACTGTGTAGCTGCAAACATTTATATATTTGTGGTGACTTAAGCCAAAATTTAAATATTAGTAGAAGTTGTTAGTTTGAGGGAACATTAGCTCCTTGGTATGTAATATGCTTTTGGTTATATTGTTTTAACAGGTGTGTAAACTTCCTACATCAGAGATGACAATTATTTCTATACAAGAGGATTTGCTGATAAAAGAATTAGAAACACTCAAAAGCACAAAAAGATTGTTGTGGCTTTTACTGCAAACAAGAGAACGTGTAAGATTATCTAAAGCAATCATGAGCTTCCTGTGGGAGCCATAAATAAAGTTCTGAGCAACTGGGCTGTGGAGGAAAGAGGACAACCCCTCAGGGAAATGCTTTAGGATAAAGGAAGTGCAGGTAGTGACAGGATGCAGGACTTTGCTGGACACAGGTAGTTCCTACCCATACAGGAAGATTATCCTTTAAAACGGCTTGGGAAGAGCTCTTCTAACGCATAATACAAAGTTCAGTATATTTCTGAGAGCCAGCACAGCTCAGGCTTAGAATGCAGTTTGACTTGAGAGCTGCTCCAGCATCTTCTGAATTAGTAATTTCATTTTACATCCGTGATCCAGAACACCCCATGCTGCTGTTAACTGTCTTGTCATTCAGAATTGGCAATAGGTCTAATTCTGTAAGATGCTGATTCATCTTATGGCCTTTTTAAACAGTAGGTTTATCCTTTTGCTGGTGAAGTTCAATGGTTGACATTTACAAGCTGTAAGTCCCATCAGTCTTATTTTTTTTCATTGAAAGTTATTCCTCTCCAAAAAAAGAAAGGACTTTTTAAAATGAAAAGAACAGTTGACAATGGCATAGTCACATAAATTCATTGAATTTGCAGCAACAGTTAATTCAGGTTCATTTTTGTGATCTCCCAAACAATCTTCTTTGATTTATATTTCTGGAAAAAGAAGTTCCTGGAAATTAGTGTTGATCTTTAAATTGTTTTGAATTTTACAAGTGCTTTTACTATTTACTTGTTCAAGTAAAACTTAAGTATTATAGCATTTAAAGTGTTAGTTAGAAGAAGAACCTAGTGTATGGAATAACCATGATATTTTTCTGATCTGAGAGATGATGGGCCAAAAATAAATTGAATCTTTAAAATTTAACCCACCAACTTTAAATAGCTTGTGAGAGATTTTTGTATGGACCAAATGGCGTTTATGCAAAATCAATTATAATTTGAAGTCATTAATTTTTTCCTGCTTCTCTCTTGCAGTTAAGCAATAAAAACATTGACATTTTGATGCAGAAGTTAAGTGAAAGTGAAACCCAAAATACTGTAAGTAAATTAAAATTTCTACTTTTTGTTCTGTGCTTTACACCTAAAAATGGCTAGATCATCTGTCGCACAATTTCACATAACAGTGGCAAGGCTGAGAATAGGGAGTGTTTTGCTATCTTGAATTCCTGTTTATAAGAACAGTGAACCATGAACTATAACCATCGTTTTATTTTATTATCTAGTTGAAAGTGATATTTGCCAGGTTTTATTATCTTTTCCGTTACAGAATTGAATGCATTATATGTTGTTTTGTATGTACAGTAGACCAAGAGTAATTATTAGTAATTATTACAGTAAATGAGATAAACATTGTCCTAAAATTGCACAAAGTCACAACCATACACAGATAGTAGTGCCGTCAACCAGGTAAGACAGTTGTGAATGAAAAAGTAAGAAGAGTTTAAACCCCTGATTTGGTTTTATATATTTTTTATCTCTTATCAATGAGGAAAGAAGCTTAAAACAGAAGTTGAGTCTGGACAATTTGCTTCATGAAAGGAAAAATATTAACATTTTTTAAACCTTTTTTTTTTTGGGAATATAACATTTTCCAAGAATAATGTTCTGTTTTTAAAAAGAAAAGCTTGGAAGTTTAAATGTGCCCAGATTCTAAACAAAATTGAACAAGTTATCTCTCACTCAAGTTATTCTGCTTAAAAATAGTGATGTTATAACTAAATACTGATGTTAAGAAAAACACTGATGCTAAGATTAGAATAAGGTGTTAGGCTCATGTAGCAGGTGAGGAAAATTAAGGTCCTGAGAGCTGCTCTCTTGTGGCCTGCCTGTGTGCATCAAGCTGAACTACTGCCAAAAGTGGTGATTCTGCTCTCTCTGCTCCCAGCTGTGATCCTGTCCTTTCACTAGAGCATTCTTAGCATAAATGTATCCCTCTGTAGCTTCAGTTAAGAGGAGAGATTTCTTTACTGCAGTAGCCTTTAGTTTCATCATCTTAAACTCTCAAGCTCCTGTTTGTAATTTATCCAAAGTTCACTCAGCAGTGCACTGAGAGCATGTGATTTCCAGGTAATGTAACTGGTAAAAGGAAAGTTTAGAAAATATTCTGTTTATGACTCCTATATTTGAAAAACATTCTTTGTTTGATGGAAGGATTAAACATGCTTGTATAGACCAACCTAAGAATTAAAATCAAGGAGCTCTCCGCTCAAAGCGTGCAGTAGTTGGGTTTTGTGTTGCATTGGTTTAGATTCTGTTTGCTTTTTTTTTCCTAAAAACTCCAGAGAGGTGTATCATTGCAAATGAAATTCAGTTATAAAAATAAATGATTTTTTAACTATTATAACTGTAATTCAGTTATTTTTATAACTGAATTTCATTTGCAGTGTTTATCAGTGTGCAGTGCTGTTGTGATGAGTACAATTGTTATGTATAAATATTAATTTATTTCTTTTTTTTTTCAATGAAGAATCTGAGGAGAGAAATGCTTGAAAGAGAAAACTATGTTAAAGAACTTGCATCTAGGCTTCAGCTTGAAAAAGTGAGTGATCAGTTCCATAGGAATGAATGCTTTCTCCTAATGTACTATATTTATAAATTTATAAGTAAGTTTGAAATAAATGTAGGCACTTAATAAATCTAATAGCCGTCGGTGGTCTTTGGTGTTTGATGAATATTGGTTCAGGCCTCATTAGTCAGGACAGAGCTGATCAGTGTGGCCTAGTCCTAGTGAGACTGTTAAGTAGATGTCTTTGCTCAGCCTTGGATTTCTGAGTTTGCTTCAAGGCTCAATTTATACTACTAATAGAATCAAATTAAATACAAGACATAAATTATGCACACATTCTTTTAAATTTGTGATTTCAGCATTACGACCTTACTAATAAGTTATTGCTTGTGAGTTTACTTGTAGAGCATATTTTATTTTATCCATCTTTTGAGGATGTTCAAATGTGGGTTAGAAATCGTGCAGCACAGTAAAAAGAACATAAATACCATCATAAGACCTGTCTACAGACTAACAGATTTGTGCTCATTTCCCTTTCTTAGGTCAATGTACAGCAAGCAGACCACCTGACAAGATCAGTAAAAGCAGTACAAACTCACCTCCAATGCCAGATTCAAAAGAAGGAAGTGGAGAATGGTGAATTAAAAGCAAAAATACAGGTTGGCATGTTTTACCTTTGAGTTTATTTATAAATTAGCGAATTACTGTGGTCTTCCTGTGGTTAATTCTGATTTGAGAGTTGTGTTAAAATATCTCTTGATATCAAACTCTTATTAAAAGTACAAAACAGTATAAAACAAACACGTAGAGTTTGTAGGATCTGCATAAGCATGTTATCTTAATTACAAGTATTTTCTTCTGCTCTTCTCAGCTTGTATTGTAGACATTCATGGAGAGCGTCCTGTGGAGTGCATCTTAATGAAAGTGGTTCTGTCGAAGGGAAATTATACAGGGATAGAAGCATTTGCACTCACTTACCTGTACTCTATAGAAATTAGAGGCTATTCTGAAGCAGCTGTCTAAGCTCCGTATATAGTCGATAGAAAGAGATAGCTATGTTACCAGAGAGAGTTGTTACAGTGATTTGAGTGACAATTAACTACCCATTTCTTTTTATTGACTGTAAAGGAGCCAATAAACCAGAAACATTTAAGACTAAAGCCTAACCTCACTTTGTTTAAGATTTAAGGAGATTAATTCCTCTTTTTTTTTTTTTTTTTTTTTTTTTTCTCTAAGAAGCAAGAGGTAAATCTGAGCCTATTTCAAACTTGTAAAGAACACAGTTGTAAGCAAGAAAACATTGGCTGCCAAATAATGTATTGCTAATTTCTGTTTTTTGGGGGTTTTTTTTCCCCCCCAATGACACACATCCTCTACAGTTGTTAGCATTTGAAGTTGTTCAGAAACCTATGGCAACTCATGGCCATAGGTTCAGGAACGTATAGCAAATTCCTTTATGTCTCTATAAACTCCAGGTATTTTCTTCTGAAGAAAAATTGCATTCATGTTCTACTTAGTTTAGAGTTTGGACAACATTTTCACTAAATGATATCTAAATAAAGTAGCCTGATCTCTAACTATTGTTTCATAAAATCTTTATTTAAGAGGTTGTTTGTTTGTTTTCAAAAAATTGATGACGTTTGTTGCCAGCTCAAATCCTGATGATGGTTTTTTATTATCTAGATAAAACTTGAGGAATCTTAACCGTGTTTTTTATGAATTTAATTCTATATTTACATTTTTCTGAGCCACTGAGTACTGCCCAAAGCACGTATCCTTAGTGTGAGTATGACCTCCTGTGGTTCTAATAGGGGATAACAGTTGTATCAACAGTTTGTATCAACAGTTGAAGCCATACATAGACTGAGGTTTTCTGTTTGCTCTGCTTATTGAAAGTATTTTTCTCCAAGTACTTTTTTTTTTTTTTTTTTATGCCATATTAGTAGTAATATATTTAAAGTGTTTCCTTGCATATGTGATTTTCCTACCTGGAGGTTCTTCCTGAGTCCCAATAATCTGAGACCATCTTTCACATGGCAAAACACATACATTTTGCACTGAGCATGGATAAGTTTTAGTACCATTAGCAGGGTTTACACGGACTCCTGTCCCCTTATATGCACGATATGGACTTTTTAATACAACAGTTGGCAAACAGCATCATGAATAAGGGCAGCAAATCAATGTAGTCAGTAGGTAAATAGCATGTAATTCTGATCTTTATTGATGTAGAACACATTAAATATCAGATTGAGACTCAAAAGAAAAAAATAATTACATATTTTTATTGTACCTTTCAATCTGTCTGATAAATTATGGTATTTATCAGTAACTTGAGACAAGTAGAGAAGTTTATTACAGTCCTATAAGTAGCCAGCATGTTTAATTTGCCGTGGTTTGACAGAAGAGTAATAGATGATGTGAATGGAACTTGCACTTGTCTTTATCTAAGTAGGCGACTGCTGGTACCTTGTTTGTGTTATTGATAAGCTGTAGCACTGTAAAAATAATTGTATCTGAGATCCTCCTTGAATCACACTCCGGTATTGCTTTCCTTATATGTCATCATATTATTTTTCCATTCATACTGAAATAGAAAGTGGATGAAAACACAAATGTCAGGAAGTCAGAGAAATCAGCTCCCTGGATTGGGTGAGATCTGTACGACTATATTCATCAGATGTAAAAATTTAGCTAATCAGAAACATTAAAACAATAGAGATGATTTTGTAATGACATTTGTAGAATTACCCTAATCTGGGTTGTTTTGTATACATTGCTAGTATAAATAAATACATTAAATATGCATTAAATACATTAAAAATGCATGGAGGCAGCAAAATTAAACACTCAGGAAATGGTACATATTAGTTGTCCTTGCAATGTTTGATTTACCTCCTCTTGCTTAAGCTTTATAATGGCCTGTATTAACTATATTTAGACAGCTTTTATCACTAGGCAAATAATTACATTTCAACAACTGTAATCACTAGACAAGACAGCACTTAGTGCGTTTTTTTAAATTTATTTATTTATTTCCTGTTTTACTACCACTAGAATACAAAATATAAGGCAGCATTTCCATAAGCAACAGTGCATTCTCTATGCAATTCTGTTTCATTAATAGAGCACTGGAAGAAGTCAAAGATCTTGTGAGAAAATAGTATATTGTCATGTATTCACAGAGCATATCATAATGCATATATTCCAAGCAAGACCAAGCTTTTCCTGGTTTCTTGATTTTAAAAGCCTAAACCCAGTATCTTAACTTTAATATGTAAATTTCATATGTAGCTGATCTCCAGCCTTAGTTATATGCATGTTCACTGTATAGATTCAGAGAGAACAGGCTGCTACTACATCCATGAATATCATGAGTAGCATCATTAAGATATTCTTTATAGAGATCAGATCATGAAACCACTTTTTTTCTCCTTACCAGTGGGTTTAACAGCAATGCCGTGCCTCCAACATTGAAATTCTCATTCATTTTCAAGCATAAATTGTGATGGTGAGATTTTTGTCTTCCCCCCTGCTCCTATGTGTTTCTGCACCTTCTCAACCTCCTCTCTTCCTCATCTTTCTTATGAGTTTCCTTAGCTCCATTTCTTCCTTGTGTACATCCCTTAGCTAGTTTCTTCTGTCAACCACAAGATTTGAGATACAGAGAAACTAATGCAAACAGGTTGCCAGTGCAGTTGCTGTTCCTGATTATGATAAGTTAAAATCTGCTTGACAGAGTTGTTTTGTTTTTTTGTTGTTGTTGTTGTTGTTTGCTTTTCTTTTGTACTGCAGACCCTAGGAAAAAAAATAGCAGAGTGGAAGCTTCAAGCTGGTGAATGCAAACACCAGATTTTAGCCTTAAGGCAAACAAGTGAGCAAAAGAAGACTGCTCTGAAAAAGGCAACCAGGTCCCAGAAACAAAAAGCTAAATGCTTGGAAGCGGTTGTGGAAAATATAACCTCCAGAATAAGGGAACGTGTGAGTAGCTGTAGGAGACTCTATAGAATTAGATGGTATTATTTTAAGTTATTCTTTTGTTACATGGTTTATAATTTATGTTTTTTTTTCCCAGGAAGTCAAACTGTTTGAGATAATGTCCACTTCCAATGTCTGGAAAAACCAACATGATAAGGTATTAGAAGAAAAGACCATGTTAGAAATTCAAGCAGAAGATCTTAAGAAGTAAGTTAAACTGCTGATGGTCAATTTTTAAGTTCTGTAGTCTTGTAATAATCTTGATACTTGGTTTTGTAGTATTCAGTGTTGACGTGTAAACATGTTTATGTGTGTCTTCATGTTTTAAACTTCTGAGCTGAATTTGGAAGGTGGAAACTAGAACAAATTTAGGAATTTTAGCCTTCCCTTTGCTGTATTTTACAACTTTCCTGTAACTTCAGTCTGCCATACAAGTACTATAGGTATTTCCCCACTGTGTGCTACCTCCATTTGCTGGGTATCTTTTAATTGTACCACATCTCTATTTTGGAGAACTTCCTGTTTCAATAGTCGCTGCTTACTTGGGATGTTTGGGTGTTTTTTTTCCCCATTTTGTATGCTGTAGAGAGATTTGGAATAAGAACAATGAAGGAGTAGGTAATCAAGTACAGTTTAATCTATATAATGCAAGTTTTGGAAGCATTATGTTTGAATTTTGCATAAGTTTTTACCTCTCCAATAAGGCAGATTACAAGCCTTTTGGAAGATCTGAAAAAAAAGGAGGAATGCAGAAGAAACTCAAATGAGGAAATTCTTGCCAAGCTAAGTTCTGTCAACTCTGAAAATGAAAACATTAACCTTGAAAATGAAAATTTAAAGGTGAGATTATTATTCTGAATGAGATTATTGTGTTCTATTTTAATAACTCCTAAAATTTTTATTTTTCCATGTTTTAATAAAGGCTTCCCTTGCTGTATTGAAAACCAATACTATTTCTGTTGAAACTGAACTGCTAGACCTACAAGAAAAAACAAAGCTGCAGGAAAACCTTGTTGAACAGTATAAAAATCAGGTGACTTGCATATTTGAAATGTATAGGCAGTTTTGAGGAAATGATAAAGGTTTTACTTAAAACAAATTTATTGTATGAAATGAAAGGTTTTCCTTTTTGTTTGACAGCATTGTTTCTGTATTTTACAATTTAAGAAAAAAAAATTTAGAAATATATATTAAATATGTTGTGTCTTAGGTGCAAAAATTACAGGGAGAAGCAGAAGAACTGAAATCTAGATATGAAACAGTGTTACATGAAAACAAAACAATAAAAGAAACCAAATGCTTAGAAGTAGATAAGGTAAGATTTGCAGTATTAAAGTATGACTCTATGATTTTGTATGAAATTCTTTATTCATATGTTAATGTGACCCACTCCTTAGGAACCATAAGGTATTGACTGTCTTCCTTTTTTTCTTTTTCCATTTACAAAACTGAATTTAAGTGTATTAAATGCTTGCCTGCTTGTGATCTTTTTTCTTTTTTTCTTTTTTCTTTTTTTCGTTTTTGGATACTGCACAATTGCAAACAGGTGAGAAATATTTCCTAGAATACTAACAAAGAGTTATTAATAAGTTATTAACTAACTACTGTTATTTTAGAATTTAAGAATCTGTTATACTGCTCCTAAAAATAGGATTTTGTTGTTGATCTTAGAGCTATCTCTTGCTATAGAAAAATCTGCATAAGAAAGTTGGGTGGGAAGGCAATCTCCTGTAAGACTTGGATTTAAGTTGTTGACTTGAACTAGCAGTTAAAGCAGAGAATCCATACAGGGACTACTTTTAAGTTTTTTCAGCAGATGGAGCTGAATACTGGAATACAGATAGTGCTTTCCCAAGCACGAGAATACAAAACAGAAAAAAAAAAAAAAAAAAAAAAAAAAAAAAAAAAAAAATCTGTTTCTTCAATGCCGTGGCTCATTAAAATACATATTCTTTTAGGCAATGAAACTGAGACAAGGACAATGACATGGACATTGCCTGCAATGCAATATTTTATAGAATAGGATCAGCCCTCATAGGGAAGTGTCTTGGGTTTTTTTTATTTCATATATATTTTTACAAAATTCCATCGTAGAATGGAGCTTTTGACCCAGAAATTCTACTTGCACAGCATTTTGAGTGGCTTTTTGTGACATAAATTATTGTACTCTTTTCAAATACTGCAATAATTGTGTGGTCAGTATTTTTCCTGCAAGCTGCTTTAAGTAAGCCTTTTTGCAAAAGGTATTATAACTTAAAAAAAGGGGGGGAGGGGGGGCTGGTCAATAATCTGCTGAAATTTGCATATGTTTGTAAGTATTTACCATGACTTTTACGGAGTCTTTAATGAAATATAGCCAGAGAGAAATTTCTGCAATGGTGAACTTAAAACCTTGTCAGTGTTTTATAAAATAGGTGACGTTATGTAACATGTAGAATTTCAGATTTATTACTTACATGGAAAGCCATCAAATATTACAACAATTAATTTATGGTTTTTCATTACATTTTTCTCCTGTGATGCTAACATGCAGGTGAGGGGCAAAATGGAGGCCGACTTAAAGGAGTTAGAACATGTTCGGGACTTGCTGAAAGCAGCTGAAGAAAAGCTGCAAGAATATCAGGAAAACCTTATGTCTTGTCAAAGGACCCACGCGCAGAAGTGCAAAACCCTTAGGGAACTGCAGGCTCAGGTGCTAAGATTATAGTTTTTAAAGATAAATAAGAAAATTAGGTGGAAGAAAGTTTTGAAACACCTTTTCTTCCTCCCCACCCGCTGCGTTTTGTGTGTGTAGCTGTTTTACCCTTCCTTAAGTTATTTGTTTCACAAAGCAAAAGCCTCTCCTGCAGAAATAGTACAATGCAAATAAACCTATTGCCAAGTGTATTTAGGTGGATTCAGTATGTGACAGAAAAGTCTAGAATTTATGTTTGCTTTTAGATTTTATGACTTTTAAATGAGCAAGTCCTTCATTCTTTTGAATAGCTGTGTCATGAGAAGAGTTTTAGAATTCCTTCTTGAATATAGATGTACAATTCTAATAATTGTTTGTATCTAGTGGAATAATTTAATTTCACATTCATTCCATTTTTATTGTGTAATTTATAAACCAGACAATATTTGCTCAGAGAAATAGGTATGCCTTTGATACTGCAAAACATCAACATTTTAATGGTTATTTTGTACTGATGACATACAAAACAAAAATATGATTTGATGAGCTAATTTCTAGTTATTTTTTGTGTTTTATTTTTGTAGCCTGCATCTGAATATTCCTTATGTTTTATCTATTTCTTTTTTTAAGTAAGTAGATTTTTGTATCTGAACATCAATTTATATGGTTTTTCGAATCAGTAAAAGAGGAAAGAGGTTTAATCTTCTTCTTGTGTTGGTCAATCAGTGGGGAAAACGTACCTTGGCTTCAACCAAAACAGAATGAATATCTGTGTGTTCCTACAGACTTTATATGCCTATAAGCTTTGGCTTTTCTGTTAAATTTCCTGTCAAGATCATTTTTATAGCATCAAATAGCATCAAAATCTGTTTTTGTTGTATCATACTAGGCACTTGTACCAGCAATGCTCATAAATTCTTAAGTCCAACTCTGCCAAGGAAGGAAAGTGCTTAAACTGAAATTACATGCTTAATTTTATATATATACCTCAAAATTGATTGTTGTTTAGCTGTAGGTTTTCCTGACAAAATGCAAAGTAAAAACCTCAAGTAGTGAAATCAGAATCAGGGAAGACAGTTTGGCTTCCCCCTTTTTTTCTGCTTCTACTACTGATTGTTGTTTTTAATTATAAATATCCACTTTCTAATATCTTTTGCCAATTCTAAGATGTCCTTCTGCATTAACAACTTTTTTTTTTCTTCATGTGATTGTAGTGTGAGGAAATTACTTTTAAAATGGCATTTAAAGCCTAAGAGTCAAAGTTTGCAGTGAGGTGGACCTGGCCAGCTCCAGTACGAACGGTTGCATGAGCACTAGAAGTATCTTGTTCAGGTTTCACTTTTTTACACAGCAGATCTTAAGTCAAAGTGCTCAGCTGCAGTCTGCTACTTTGATTGTATTTTATTTTAAATATAACATAGTGCTTTCCTGCTTTTGCAATTATGTTGTTTGATAGTGTTTTAAGGGGTGACTTTATTTTGGTCTAGAATATCCTGAACGTTGGTCTCTTCAGTATAAAGGAATTGTTATCTTCACAGGAGGAAGACAATACAGCTTCCTTGTGCAGTCATTCCTTGGAAGAAAAGAACTGTAACATTCAGAAGAAATATGAAGATCTTAAAAGGTAACTTTTTAAATGTGTTTGCAATTATTTTTTATGACTTTCTTGCTATAATGAAGAATAATGTGTTAATGCCTTTTGCATAAAGACAGCTGGAAAAGATGGAATATCAAAATGAAGAACTTGCCAATCAGCTCAGAAAACAAGATGAGAGTCTTCAGTGCAGCAAACTGCAACTTAAAGAGAAAATTGCAGAATGTGATGGTTTAGCCAGACAACTGGAATCTGCTTTGGAGGAAGGGAGAAAAATGGTATTGATGGTTTAATGTGTCTATTAATCTTACTTGTGACTTTCTATTTAGAAATAAAAAATAACCTTAAAATAAATATGCTTGGAAAGGGAAGGTGGGACATGATTATTTTGCAGATAGGAAGCAATGGTTAAAAAGCTACCTACTGGGAATTTTGTGTTTAAATATGAATTGCACAACTGGAATTTGCTTGGTGAAATCCTGATCTCTTGAAATTAAGGACAGAGTTCGGTGGAGCAGTGTTTTGCCATTGTGTTTATTGACAGATCAAACAAATGCTTTAACCACCTAATATTTAAATACACAACGATAGGTTTGAAAATAAGAGCCTAATCTTGCCTTTTTCACCTTTTCTTTGGGATATGCAACCCACAAGGACTTTAGTGTTGTAATCTTTCTAATTTTAAAGGAAAGCTTTACACATGTTTAATATTAAGCAGAGATACGACATTTGCAGTAAGGATACAAACTAAATCCAAGTTACCAAGATGTCCCCATCTCATTAATTATTATGTTTATTCAGAGTTGAAGCTAGGTCAAATTCAGTCAGAATGCTTCCCAGGTTTGTTCACTTCCTGTGAAGTGAAAATGGTGGGAAATAGAATAGGAAAGAGAGCTATTTAAAAATTACAGGAAAATTATTTGTTCTGGGCCTTAAGTGAAAGTAAATATACAATCTTTTCTCTCATTGTCATTATAGGTATCTGAAGAAATGGAAAAAATATCATACAGGCAACAAGCTCTTCAGACCAAAGTGCTAGTTCTTGAAACTGAATTAAGAGAGAAAGAAGAAGAGAAAAAACAACTTCTCTGTACACTTTATCATGTGAGTAGCATGATGATGCTTCTTTATGGCTTGTTTAAGAAATTATTTACTAAATCACTGTTTACATAAAATTATTTTCACTGAAAAACACATTTTTAATGGAATCGATACATTTCTAAAATACTTACCAAATGACCACTCTTGCTAAATCACTGAAAGATTGCGTTTGCATTCTTTATTCAGTCCAGTTTTGCAGTCCTACTGTTTTATGAAAGAGACTGGGCTTTTAGACTCTGAAGCTGGTTTCTTTGGGGATAGAAAACCTGTTAGCAGGTCTGCTAGACTCTGGCGTTGTTCTGCAGAAATGAAAGTCAGGATTTTTTTTCACGCTTTCTACCTTAGGCACTGTTTTCAACAGCAACCGCAGTGCCTGCCCTGGATACTTGGTCAGTACACTGTTGAGCATACCTTGAGCAGACTTAGATCCAAATCTATTTCTCTGTGCAACTTGGAAAGCAAGTAGAGGCAGAGACCTGCATTTGCATTTTTCTCAGGATGTTTTTTTAATCAGTTTGAAAAGAATCTGTTTATGATGCTCATATGATATCTGTAAGTAATTTCACTGTTTATTTCTATGCATCATGCTTTCTTTAAAATCAGCAGTATTCCAATTACCAAGTTTGATAGGAATACAATTAGTGCTTTATTTTTTGATCCATGTTTTATTTCTAATTTGCATTGTATCTCTCTCTTTTTTTTTGCCTTAGAATGAAAGGCACCAGGAAGTATGCTTGAAAGAGATGGAGAACAGCCTACAGAAGTCAGAAAACAAGACCCAGAGCATACAGAATTATGTGGAATTTTTGAAAGCCTCATATGTAACAATGTTTGGTTGAATTCTTTCTTTTCATTTATTATAGTAATAAAGAAACTATACACACCTTGCACAAGTGTACAAAATGTTGTAAGTGTAGAGTGTTCCAACAAAGTTGGAAGTTGCTGTGTATTTACCATGTCTCTGTCCTGTGCTGTAAATTTACATGTGTGCTCTCAACATGGCCCACACAGGTGATCACACGTTACCTTTCTGTTTCAGTGGGAGTGAAGAACACCCATGGGTGCATGTTTATTTGGTTAGCAGCCATTATATGTCATATTTCAGTCATAAACTTTTCTTCATGTATAAATTTGGTTTCTCAAGATGATGATACCCATCTTATTAATACAGATGGGAATTTAGGTTCCCCTCCTTTCTTTTCCCCATAGCTTAACACCAGTGATTGCTGAGATATAGTACTGAATTAAGACCTACTTATGCACCAGATAAAACATATGTGAATATGTTTGGCTAATAGAGGGTTGATGTGAAAAAAAGATTATAACTAAGAAAGCAACTTCTATAGAAAAGTACTCATAGAGTTGTGATGGCTTTTGAAAAAGAATATATGCAGATAAGTTTTATAGATAGATATAGAAAAGTGTTAGTATGCATATATAAGGAATATATGCATATGAAAATAGTTCATGCACAGTATAGTATATGTATAGTATGTACAACCTACTATAAATAACTGTCAATGAAATACTGTATAGAAAGAAGAATACCAATGGACTCTTCACAAATACTCATCTATCTTAACAAATATTGACAGGTAGTAATAATCTGCTTGCGTACACTTCTTGGTGATAAAAGTATAATGTATTATGTAAAATTTCTGTTGCCATTACATTTTCAGGGTTTGTGCATTAATCAGCACTTTTACAATTATATTTGGATTCATTTAGTTCTACTTTTGCTAATTAAGAAATTAATCTTCTGCTAAGGACCTGCTTAAGAACGTTTCTACTATTATAAGATAACAAACCCTTTTGAATATCCTATATGAAGGAATGGAAAGATATCAGAAATAAAGTCTTGAATCTAGTCCATGGTTTGCTTTTAAAATTATATCACAGGATCAGCTAGATTACATAAAGGTCACCATGGAAAATGTAGGCTCTTCTTTGGTAAACAGAACAATGATGTGCAGAATCTTGATTTCAGCCTGTCTTCTGCTACTCAGGAAGTTGGAAAACAATTTTCTTTCACTGTATCATCTGTAAGGGATAGATCTGGAATTATCAAAGTTGCTTATAGTTTCAGGGACAAAATTGTTACCTCTTTAGAAGTTGGTATGTGACAAGTTCTAAATATAGTATTTAGTATTAAGACTCATCCAGCTTTCAGATGAAAATGGATTGTGCTCACCCACTTCTGACTCACGTAGAGAAATTCAGTTTTGTCTGAATTCATCTGCGTAGTCTCAATTGTTTTGCAGTTTTTTATATGGGATAAAATGGAGAGTAAACACATCGGTGCCTCCTTTCTCACTGTTACTGAGAAAGGAAGCATATGAAGCAGATCATTATCTTACCGTATGCTTTAGATTTGTTAATGTATGGGAAAACAGAATTTTAAAACAGAAGCACATGTCTTAAGACTACTTCGGGTCCTACCCTGCTAATCTTGTCTGCCAAGTATAGCCTATTATTAGTGGCTTAAGAGTGATAGAAAAACTTTTATCTGTTTCCTATCTTAGGGAAAAAAAACTGCCATAAATCCTGTTGTAAGATGTGTCTGATGGAGCCGTTCCAGGGAGATAGTAAGATTCAATCCTTTCTCTCTGTGTAGCTGCCTCCTTAAGCAATCTCTTGTCAGAAGGCATCTAGTGATCATCGAGTTCCATGCGGATGACTCACGGGTCCCCTGTGATAGGTTACTAGCACAAAATCTCTTTTGAATAGGCCTTTTATCTGTTCAGCTGTAAATGAAATCAACACTGGGATTTTTGTGGAAACGGTGAAGAGGGACTGTAGCAGGCAGGTCAACATGCCTTTTACTGGAGTTGTATCTGACTCTCCGCATTGTATGCAAACAAGATAGGAGTTTTATAAACTTTTTTTTTTCTTGGTGACAAAATCACTTTGTCAGTGTCTTCCTTCAGGAAAAGTGACCTGGCTTCTTCTGCTGACAAACTGTTTAGCAGTGGGAGGTCTGTGTCCGGCCTTGCTGGCTGGGAGGCTTAGAGCTGGCCAGCACAAACAGTGATCAAAGCAGGGCCCGATAGGAAGCGGCCCTGCCACGGCATGAAAGGGATGCAGTGATTCCAAGCAGATTTCTTTTGCTTTTGTTGCAGGGCTTCCTGTGGATCATTTTAAGGCTGACCTACACGCATAGCTCATGCGTGTTCCTCATGCGCGGCCAAAAACATGAAGCTGCTGTGCTCATGTGGAGTCCAGGTAACCAGAAACACGAATTCACACTAGTCATTCAAGTACCCTGTTATGCATTTGGGTTCAGTGTATCTTCTGGCTGAGAAGTCATCAGGTAGCAGCTGTGATCCAGGAGTAAAGATTCAAAATATTTGAAGGTAGAGAGTGTTTTGTTACTGTCCCTGCACCTCTCACTTGTGCTAGTATACGTAATGTAATGCTATTGATTTTGACCTTTAAACAGTCCAAAAGGATAGCAAGTGGTAAGTAAACTATTCCTACCCAAAGTAATCTAAGATCTTCACAAATCTGGTTGCATTAAGAACATTGGTATTTCTCTTCTTCCCAGGAAGTCTCTGATTTACAACTCAGGCTTTTTTTTTTTTTCTTAAACATTGTTTTGACAGACCAGGTCACATACCTGACTATCAAATCACAGCTGATTACTTTATTTGAAAAGTCATATAAACAAAAATGTATAGAGGTTCTTCAATATTGCCTCTCTTTTGTGGCAGAAGTTCATTTTATTGTCTCTAAAATTATCAAGAATTTAAATGTTTCATATGTCACTACTCCTTTCAGTGGTTCTACGAAAATTTGAAACTAAGTACTGGTTAAGCTTTGTATGCTTTTCATCCCAGTTTTCAGAAATCTTTGATAACATCTAATTTCTAGAGCGGCCCTATACACCCGACAACCATCTGCAGATCTCCCATCAGCATTTCGGGCAGGCAGAGCCCTTGTTCATTATCACCGTGACCACACTGCTATTCTTAGCAGAGGTTCCTTTGCAGAGGAGCAGCATCCCCTGCTGTGGCAAGGTCCACTTACCAATTTACAACTCCACCCACTAAATGTCACTCTGGATTATAAACAACCCCAGCAAACTATGTATTTTTAACAGCCTTAATTTTGCCATCATGCATGTCTTACAAAAGTTGAAGGCATTTTTGAAGTGCAAATCGCCAAGCTGGCATTCAGCTTATTCTCAGAACATAGGTTGTTGTCCCAAAGCGGTGTTTTTCCCCTTGAAAAATCAGTATAATAATATGCTGCAAAACACAAACTGTTTTGTGCCAACATCTCGTTCTTTTTTCTGGAGGTTGCAGCAAGTCCTAAGAAACCTGAAGAAAGACCCCATGTTTCAAATCTTTTTTTGCAAATCTTTTACAGAGTACAGCTAAGCTTTGCTGATCCTTTCCTAGGCTTTAGTTGCATTTTGTTTCTGAACTTCTTACCCTACAGTCTAATATTAGGCCCTGGGTTTATGAATTGCCCAAAACATGGGAGTGGCATGAAGAGCTGCTTACCTGCTGCTTGCTGGTTACTTGTTTTGAGATAAGGCTGTGTCCTAACACAGAGGACATTTGAACTGAAGTGGAAATTGCTATAGCAAATTTTATCCGTGAATCTGATAGTCAGGTATGTGTACATAACTTAAAGTACACAAGATACCCTATTGAGATGGTCACTGATTCAGAGACTTTTTTGCTTTATTTTTTCTTAGAGATTAATTTATAAATGCACCAAAATACTTTGTAGAGCTATATACTGTATAATGGTGATGGTCTAGAGCTAGTCAGTTGACAGGAAAGTCAATTCCTGTCAGGATAAAGAGAAAGGAGGTGTACTTAAATAACAGAAAAGGAGACGTTTGCCTTTGTCCACAGTTAAAGAAGTCGAATGATCTGGTTTATTTTGTAGGAAGCCTGACTTTTTTTTAAAAAAAAATAGAGCAAACTTATCTGGAGTCAGGCTTTTTTAAAAAAAAAAAAGTTTCCATTTCAAATAACATTCCTCTTTTTCTTAAGTTTTGCTTTTACTAAGATTGTGATTTAGTACAAATTTCACAGAGTAATTTCTATGTAGGTGCAAAAACTGGAAAGCGCCAGTATTTTTCTCATACTGACTGACAATATCCCAATCTGTAGTAATTTGATGCAGTTAGAACATATCAGGGCTTGAGTCTATTAAGTATGTGTGTGTGGGAAATAGACATTTAAATACTTCTACCCACACTTGTATTTTGTGGGAGATTTCCCACCAAAAAAACCCACGAAAACTCCACACTGTTGTTTTGTGGAAGACATTGTCTGGATCCTACTTGATAGTATTTTTTGACAGCACTTTCACCATAGTTTCACTACGGAACTCCTAATGCTTAAGCCATGCCTAGACGCTGCGTTCTGCTGGGGGCAGTGATGCAAACTGTATTTCCTGTTTTTACTAAAATGCTGTTTGCTAGGATTCTGCTATTCTGGCTTCAGTTAGCAAGCCAACATCTGGAAACAGGACTATTTTATGATTTTTGTACAATAAGTCTTGTTTCTTTCTAGCTGCCTAATCACTTCTTTGTTCTTGGCATTATATCAGGCTTTGAATGGTAAACATCAAGAATTCCCTTTCCCTTCTGTCTTTCCACTATTTTTAATAAAATAAAATTCTGTATTACGATGAGAACTCCAGCCAATTCTGCCTTAGTTTGAGCCTTTTTAGTGCCACACTGCAGCAAAATCGTGGTATTTTTTGTGGACACATCTTTCTCCCTAAGACTGAATACACTTTTTGAACAGTCAAAGAAAACATGGAAAAGTTAAATACAAGCACCCAGTTTTTCACAAATCCTCCCTGTGTCTTTTGGCATATTACTTCGACTTTCTCTAGTC